ATATGTATTTTAATATATATTCTGTGTGAGTGTGTGTGTTTAAGATTTATGTTATAGGGCGTTTGCATTCGCTGGAGAGACATAGAAAGACAGAAGCACAGAAAGTGAGAAATCACCCCCCTGGGAGATGGCCCACATTTCAAGCCCTTCTCTTCCATTCTCCTCTCAGGATCTTGGGCATACATGCACAGATGCCTGACATGAGTTTCAAACCTCCAGGTCTGGGACTCAAGCCATGATCGGTCATATGAGAATCCAGCAATGTAACCATTACATCATCTGGTGGTCCCTATATTTTGTCTTTTAAAACCTTATGTCTTGCCTCTCCTCCTCAGTCAGAAAGGTCAGGGCAGCTCTCAGCTTTCAAGCAGAGCCCATCTCCATCTGCAGCCTCCTGCCCAGTCAGAGAAACTGGGGTAGGGCTGAACTTTATCCATAGCCCCAGGCCCAGCTCTCAACCTCAGAGCACCCCGCCACCCTACCCCAAGCCAGAAAGGTCAGGACAGCTCTTAGCGCTCAAGCAGAGTCCATCGCCCTTCTGTAACTTCCAGCCGAACTCTCAGGGGGATAAATCACCAAAAAAACCTTTTCTTTTTTCCTCTTACATTTTCTTTTTTTCTTCCACTTTACATTGTCATTTTCGGCTCATCCTCTAGCTCCCAGAAGGATTAGGCAGGTCTAGAATTGTATCTTTTAAACATCCTAGGATCGTGAGTCTCTCAAGAATCCTTGCCTAGCACTGAACCACCAGCAAAAAAAGGAGAAACTGCTTTTCAAAAACCTGAATAGAAAACTCCTCCTGTGTGGATCACTTTACTGACCACAACAGAAGAGAGACTGGCACAGAAACAGTGCACAGCAAAAGAGAAGCAAACTAGTTCCCAGTTACAAAAATTTTTCCAAGAGCTATCCAAAAGTGAATATATCACCAAATGAATAAAAGTCACAGAAGAGTCTCAAGTATGAAATATACAGGAAATAAGACTCCATCAAAAGAACAGAATAACTTTCCTCTATCTTTGGAAGAAACAGAAGTTACCGAAATGTCAGAGAAAGAATTCAGAACATTCATCGTGTCAAAACTCTATAAGATGGTACAGAAAAAGAGACAACAAACTCCAGGAGATGAAGGAGTACTTTTATGATTTGAAAGAAGAAATGGACATCATAAGAAAGAATCAAACAGAACTATTAGAGATGGAGACTGTAATACAGGAAATCAAAACTTCTCTCAAAAGTATTAAAAGCCAATTAGGCCACGCTGAAGATCAAGTCTCAGGCATAGAAGGCAAAACCTCTAACATAGAAAAAGAAAAAACAAGCACCAAAAAGATAGAGAAAAATAACCAAGAAAAGAGATGAGGATAATATACCAGAAATACTAGATCCCATTAAATGTCCAAACATCCAAATAACTGGTATCTCAGAAGGTGAAGAAACTAATAAGGACATTGAAAATCTATCCCATGAAATCCTGGAAGAAAACTTTCCAAGTATAGAGAAGCACTCAAACATCCAGACACAAGAAACACAAAGGACTCCAAAAGAATCAATCCTAGAAGATCCTCCATGGCACATTATAACCAGACTGGCCACAACCACAGATAAAGAAATTATACTAAAATTGGCAAGGGAGAAATGTCAAGTGACTTACAAAGGTTCTCTCTTCAGATTAACACTGGGCCTTTCAGTGGAAACAATGCAAGCAAGGAAAGAATGGGAAAATACATTGAAAATGTTAAGAGAGAAACAAATTTCAACCAAGATTATTATACTTGTCAAGATTATCCTGCATATGGAAAAAAAGATAAGTATCTTTTCAGACAAACAAAATCTGAATTTACCAACACCAGACCAGCTCTTCAAGAAATTCTGAAG